GTATGTAATAAACAGGAACGGACCAAAATTGAACTTTGTGAAACGCCGCACATCTCTTCATTGCAATCTAAAGAGCTAACACCATGTGACACTAGCTAACTGATATCTCCCCTTTAAAGGTAGGTATTCACGTTCAGTTCGCCGGCCGGCCATGGACTGTCAGTCCAGGCCGGCCGACCGTGATCGTTGGTCAATACACACGTTCAGTTTTAACATCCGGCCATCGCCGGCAGTCCATAATCGGATACGATATTTGCCGGCCGGTCGTATTAAATTCAATACACACGCACAGTCTATGATCGACAGTTGCTTGATATAGGTATGTTAGAACAAGACGATTGTTGTAATTTTAGAAGAAGAGAAAGGAGAAAACTGTAGAAAATTTGGGTGAAAGACTGCTCAGAAAACGTCACACCTTATCTCACATGGAGATAATACGAGAACTCCGAACATCAAGTGAAATTGATTTAAAGAACTACCTGGGAATGGATGACAATTGCTTCGCGTACTTATTGAATTTAGTATTACCATTGAATATCAGATTTATTATTCAATGGTATTACAAAAAAGACACTGTTATGCGGCAAGCATAGGACAAAATTTTACTCCAGACTAAAATTAATCCGTCCGTCCTATGCCGGCCGGCCAAGCAGTACACACGTTACGATCTTCACCGCTATTATAGACAGGCGACAGGATTTCGCCGGCCGTCTGCCTCTACGTGTGTAGTGAAAAGCGATCGTCCGGCCGTGGACTGACAGTCCATGGCCGGCCGGCGAACTGAACGTGAATACCGACCATTAGAAATAAGTACCTAACACCATTAAATAAGTGATAATTGGTAATAGTGCTCTTAAGTCAATATAATTTATTTATTTATCTACGACTATTAAAGGGGTAGTATACCCAAAATCAAAAAAATTGTAGAAGCAAATCTAAGAACAAAATTTCAAACCGGAGTTTTCTACGATGAGTAATTTTCAAATTATTAACAATGAAAGTTTGAAAGACAGAACATGTGACGTCATCCCGACATCGTGGGTGCGGCAGCACGGATCCAAGCAGTCCGAACGCGTCAGTCCTTTCATATTCTATTTCGCTTTTCTTTGAAAAAATCAAGAAAACCTTACTGAAGTATCATCGGAACATATATCCTCAGATAAATTTGAATATTTGTAATAAATTTCTGTACCCACCTCAGATTGGATACCTATACTTTCAGTAAGCGGTATTGGTTCCATTTGATTCAGTTCTTCTGCTTGATTGTGGCATATGTTTGATGTTGAACTGGTTTCTCCACTACGAAATTGATCGTTACCCACAATAAGCAATCAGACACAATCTTACTTTCTTAGATAAGTTGACTAACGTTTTGTAGCTTTATTAGGACCTTTGTTTCCTGTGAGATGTAAAGAAGGGATTGCAGTATTGTTAGCCTTCTCAAAACTTTATACTGAGGCACAGGGTCCTTTCCTTCTTGTATCTTCCAAAAAAAATTATCATTTTTAAAGTGGACACTGCAAACGAGGTGACTATCCATGATTCAGCGGTTTTTCTACTTTTCCAGACTTTATTTCGACACGGCTCCTTCTTTTCTCGGGGAAAATTTGCATTTTTCAAATTATTGTTGCAGCAGAAAACACAGAGTTAGGCATTTTTGAAAATAATGCAGAACACTGACTACCAGTCTCAAATTAACACGTCAAACGTCATTGAATCCATATATTGCTATAGCGCGCCACCGACCCATTTGTCGGGATGACCTCACAACGACCGTTTTTTACATTCGACACCTTACCATTTAATAACGAAACGGCGTAGCGACTTGCGGTTTTCACCGTTACTCCTAGATATATATTTTTAATCTATCTTTAGACGAAAACTTGAAATTTGGGTATACTGCCCCTTTAAATAACGTCACTATATTTTAGCGAATTATGATATGTATTATTATCGGTTCCTCGAAAATCCTTTTTTTCACTACTAGCGTCTGATGACATGGTTAATAACCTTTTTTCCACTTGTAAAGTAGGCTTTCTCGGCATTTGTTCAAAGTGGTTAATAATTTTTTATTATTAACTAGTAGTCAATAATGAGAACTGTCACGCTGTCACTTTCAGAAAACACAACCCGAAATTTCGCTCAATGAACGTTTAGACAAGTTCTCTAAAACGAATAATTGCCACCATTCGCAATTTCCAGAGAAATTACATACCTAAAATTATCACATTTTGAAAAAATTCGAACGAAATTACTCTTTGAAAAATCTCAATGACAGAACAAAATACGGCCTGTTTGACTTGTACTTCCACGTACTTGATTGACATGTTAAATTAAGAAACAAACAATTCTGTCCAACCGTTAACTCTCTTATCAATATAATATGTTAATTTAGAGGATTTCAAGTGCTAGTAGTGAAAAAAATAGTATATATACCACGGTAGAGAAGTCTATTATTGCCTTCGCACCTTACACCCCTCGGCGCAAGCGCCTCGAGATGTAATCTTGGTGCTCAGGCAATAATAGTGGACTTCTCTACCTTGATATATAATGTACTATTATCTACTTTGCGTTACTAATCGACATCAAAAACGGTTTAAATTATGAAGGCTATTATTAACGTGTTTTTGGTGATTTTTATTTGTCGTATATTGGTAACATCCGTCGCGGCACAGAATATGTCATATGTCAATGTCAAACGTCAGTGATGGAGGTTAAATTGTTTGTTTTGATAATGATAATGAATTATTGAACTTTTGTGTAAGTTTAATAGTAAAGAAGACTTTCCTAGTTATATAAATCAGTGTAGGTAAGTGATACACAATAATTGTAAAGAATTACCTAATGTTTGGCAATTTTAGTGTGTTTATTACTTAGAAATAAAGAATGCAGTTACTTGTGGGAAAGTGGATTCTTCTGTTACATGGCACCAGTAAGTAAATGCAATTATCTGCAATTCATTTATGCCATACTTGCTTTTAGATTACCAAGTAAAAAAGTAACAAGAATGGTGGCTGCAAGCATGTGAACTATCGGAATTCGAGGATGTAAAAAGAAGGCTGTGTTCTCGTCATTTTAACCGTTATGAGTGCATCGATTTGGATGCACGCAAGCACGATGGGGGTCACTTAACACCTAAAAGATTTCCAACTCTACAATGTTACTTTCATTTTAAAATCAGTAAATGTCTTTAATTTAATTGTGTTTCTTTGAACATTAGTAATGTATCCACTTTGTATTATAGCTGATGCGAACTTATCCGATTTCATGTTATATTCAAGGTATAATCCCTATAGTCAATTGCAATTTAAGTTTCTAAATCGTTACAAGGTTGCCCATCGAGGTTGAAGGGTGTAACCGTAAACAAACTCGGCTGAGGAAGCTTGAAAGTTCTCCGTGAAAATGCTACAGATTCCAAGCAGAACGATAGGGAGCACCTCGAACCAGGACGCATTGGGCTGCACACGAACATTGCTTTGAGTTAGCAATTAATTTGTTCCACTAGGCCAGGGGTCGGCAATCTGTGGCTCTTTTGATATAAAGTTGCGGCTCTCCGTATTTATCTAAAGAAATTACTTCATTTGTTTGAAATTCGCCTTTTTAATTAATCTTATTTGTTTACCAAATCAAAAGTACACTTGCAGCAAATAATTATCTAATTTGTGACACCTGTTTACCTTTACTTTCTTGTATTCTTTTGTTTTTTTATTATAGCAGCCTACTCCGATGTATAAACACGTAATTAATTAATGAGTAAGTACTTTTGTGAAAAATATTCAATAACATAAAAACTGCGGGGTTTAAGCACAGGGCGCCCCTTATAAACATTGAAGAGAACGCAAAAGACAATCGAATAGCGAAATAAAACAGTAGTAGCTCCATTTGAAAAAGAATAGTTATAGCAGTTTGAACAAATGGCATTGAAACAAGTAAAAATATGCAGGATGTTCTATTTAAAAAGATCAGTTATTTATTGACATCGTAAAAATGGGACACCCTGTACATGCAAAAATAATTTCTGTAGATCCGCAACCACCAATATTTTTTACCAGGTATCAACTATGTAGGAAAAACCGACGCATTGTTGCAGGACCCTGTATATAGCCAAATACTATAATATTAAAACAAAATTTTTTTGTGGCTCTTTCAAAACTGGGAAATTTTATAAGTTGTAATTTTTGGCTCTTCTGTTTCAATAGATTGCCGACCCCTGCACTAGGCCTTTGGCTGCTAAGTGGTAACTGCAGGTGTGGAATCATTGCCGAAAACAATGTTGAGGGTACAAAAAACGTCCCTGATAGGTGATGGGAATTTAACCGTGATAGCCAACAGGTGAAATAGCTTCAGCCACTTCCTCTGTGGTTATGATTTTCAGAGGATAGTCCTTGGCCATCAAATATACTTACCCAGAGCCATCAGAAGATCAGGCAGTAGCATAGTCCGGTAGGTGGAATAGGGTCAATGTGAACCTACATGAAACGAATAGAAGTCTGGGTGAAGTGTACGAATGGTGCGTGGTTGTGTTTACATATGGTAATGTGTTCCATTTCAAAAAATTTACATCCAAATTAAATGACAGATTATTTGAATTTGTTTCACTGCTACTAGATCAGTGTTATCAACTTTGAACATACAAAGTCCCTAGTTTAATACGGTAAATTGAGCAGCCGAAATTCCAAGAATTCAGTAAAGCAAAGTAAGATAAAATAGTATATTACACTTGTTTAATAAGACGTATTCTCTATATATCTTGGACGTATTATCACACTCGTTCCATTGAAGCACTCCTCGCTACGCTCGTCGTGCTTCAAACACACTCGTGTGATAATACAGCGTCTTATTAAACTCGTATAATAATATACTAATATACAACTACTTTATGTCACTATATATTTCTCATAATTGCATATGTATAAGTTCATAATTGCATATGTATAAGTTCATAATTGCATATGTACTAAAAATAGAACCGCCCATCTCGTATGTACTACCTATCAGTTTTGTTTTGAATTAAGCATTTCTTAGGTTAGAAATGAGAGATTTCGGGTTACGTACGCTTAACTTTGTAGGTTTATTTGAAAAACAATTAATACAGGAACTTGATCCACCCCTATGACGAGATATGTGCGATATTTATAAAATGGGATGAAATAAACTTGTAAAATACCTGAAGTCATTGGCAAGTTCAGGCAACGTTACTTAACGACAGATACCTTCGCTGATACAAATATTCTGCATGAGCATGAATAAGGTTTTCGTTTGTATTTAAAGTATCTATACCTTCATATTCACAAGGCATTATTTGTAGCATAATGGATTATCGGAAGCCCCGTTTGAAGATTATTTATTATAAGTTTCAGCCTTTTACGAAGAGAAATATGTTTCGTACAACATATGTGGTATTGTCGAAGTTGTGCCACGATACAAAACAATAACATATTGTAAACTCGTTGACAATAAAGGATACAAATTGTCGTAGCACTTAACCACAGTTTTGCATGATTTATTTTAAGAATTGATAATTCGTAACAGGACTTACATACTAGGCATTGACCAAATTACTTAAATAGATGGCTGCAATATGTACGTTAACTAATAAAAAACACCTCTTGCCCTTAAATTTGCAATAAAACTATGCTTTCATTGCTTAAACTTCGTTTCTAAAAGAGGAAGAAACTTCTTGGATGCAGGTCGGAGAAGCGTAACGAAGTCTTTGAAAAATTAGATTACGTATGTGAAACAAAATATTGTATTCCATTTGGCAGCTGTGTAACAATTTCTGCAGGCATAATTGATACATTGGGATCGGATTTAGAGAATAGTTGTACATAGTTACATCACATAAATATCCACCTTACTTCCATAGGTTATGTCACAATCTAAAACAATGAAAAATGAATGACAACCATGTATATTAGCAATAATCTTACGTGTAGGTAATTACGTGTTGAATTAATGACTTCTGGGAACTTAAGATAAATTGCATATTTAGTTCGCCACTTATTATCATATATATAAGAGAAGAAGTATATATTTATGCTTATTATATACTCTGTTTTTTAACTAGGAAGACGGATTTAAAAGTTCCCGCAAAAAATCTTAGTTTCTATTGGCTCCCGCTGCGCCCGTTTCACACCCAGGTAAAGTTGCTATTGACATGATTTAACTGTCAAATTTAATCGCGATTCTTGTCCGTAACTTTTGTACTTATTTTTGAGTTTTTGTGTGTTCTGAGTCCATTTGCATAAATTTTAACAAAAAAAAACAGTTCTTTTAAGAACTAAAGTTGATATTTCGCGTCCTAAGTGTACTGGTATTAGTGATGGATTCAACTCCAAGTACCAGTAAAGCAAGCTTGTCTTTGAAAAAACGTAGTCGCTTAAATTTGGGTCATTTTATCAGTCTTTGAAAAGCAGTTTATTATAAACAAATGTTGTCTGATATTCCGGATATGAATTTTGCTACGCTTGTGTTGAAGATTGCATCTACCACAGGTAACGTAAATAATGATGTAGGTATATATTTGGTGGTTAAAGTATGTCACATTTTAGGAGTTGCACGATCTACAGTATCCTGAATAATTAAAGAATATCGAAGTACTGGCATTGTTACCCCTTCGAAACGTCCCGGTGGTCATAAGGCTGTTGCAAATGTGAGCTCTGACGATTGGCGGAATTGTGTGCAACACATTATTAAGGAAGAAAATAAGATGTGTAGATTGGATGGCCTAATGGATACACTTATAGAACCATTAATTATTTCACTCGGATCGGAGGACAGTGCGACAGTTTTAGTGAACTTTCGGAAAACAGTGACTAAATCGCTTATACATAAAGCAGTAGTTCACTGCTTTATGTATAATGCTGTTTAATAATATGAGTATATAATTCCATTGTTCTGAATTTGTTCAATAACTTAACATTTGTTGTAAATTGTAATGTGGATTGTCTAGTATTACAACTGATAAAACATTTAAAACTACAATTCAAAATAATGTTTCAAAGGCCAAAAAATGTATGCAGGATGATTACCTTATCAATGTATTACCTATTTTTTATAATTTGCTTTTAAAAGTATGATGTATGTATAATATAAAGAAGTTCGTACCAAATAATAACCCAAAAGCATAAATAATGAAATTATCCAAATGTGAAAGAAAAACACATCACGCAACCCACAATACATGTCTGTATAAAATGAGTTATTTTTGTTACTAGATTCTAGTGACATTTTCAGTGTAAATCAGGTTTTTAAATCCGTCTTCCTAGTTAAAAAACAGAGTATAGGTACATTGCGATACATTGAATTAGATTTGAGGTTAAATACCGTCAACGAATGAACGAACGCAAACCATACCATAGGCGTACATTGCGCTACCGCTATGAAGTTGCTACGTTTCAAACTGATTCAGATGCCGCATTTTCTATTTAATTAAATAGTCGTAGATAAAATAGCGTATTTTACTTGCATATATAGGCGATTATGACACTCGGAAAAATTACAACACTCGCCTTCGGCTCGTGTTGCAAACTTCACCTCGTGTCATAATCGCACACTTTATATGCTCGTATAATAATATACTATTTTTATGTAACATATTATACCCTTCACTTTAACGATTTCGTTACTATAACCTTTTCACCTCAAAATTGGACCATTTTTCGAATTTATTTTCCAGAGAAACTTAAAATCGCGGTCAAATTTAAATTTCAGGCTTATTCTACTCTTTCACATAATTTTGTTACTTAAGTCTTTTATCGGAACAAATTATAAATCAGCATATGCATGATGAACAAGAGAGGGATAATAAATAAAAATAAATAATAAATGAAATCGATTTTTGGTAATACAGATCAGTATTTTATTAGTAAAGTTTAAAATTATCGATCTCACAAGTAATCTAACTCAAAATAGACTAGAGCCTAGACCAAAAAATACTTTACTCTTTGCTATTGCAGAAAGCTTTTAGTGAAAATTTGAAGTCTCTAGTTAACGTAACTGCCGAGATCTCAGCCAGCCATAACAAATACAATAGCGTATTTTTTTTTCAAAAATGCGCTAATAATTAAGTTCTTATCGCCATCGCTAACGATAAAATTATAGCACCTCCGAAAACCATATCGAAATTATTTTCTTCAATTACCGATCTCACAAGTAATCTAACTCAAAATAGACTAGAGCCTGCACATCTACCACTACATCAGAAAGCTTTTAGTGAAAATGTGAAGTCTCTCTAGCTATTGTAATTGGTGACATCTCAGTCGGACAGTCAGCCAGCCATAACGAATATAATAGCGTATTTTTTTTTCAAAAATGCGCTAAAAAGGAAATTTTTGAATGTCATTTTTTTTAAAATTTCAAATGGCACGCCCTTTGGGTAGCTGAAACTACACAATTTCCGCAGTAGATATCCAAAGAAACCAGCGAGTCCAGGTTGCGGTTATGCCTCCAGCCGTTGAGTAAAGGATTAGGGTCAACAGAAAGGTCGTGATTTTGAACATTGTTGTTTTAAGTTGCTATAGATTTGTTGACCCTTTATTCGTGTCAGGGTTGGCACGTAATTAATTGAAACTCTCCAATGGTAATAAGTTATCTACTCCGAATTCAAATATCAGATACCATTTATGGCAATCGAAAGCGAGTAGTAGCATTGAGTAAGTAATAACATTGAATAAGGAACCATCTTATTCAATGGTAATAATTAGTTATGTATAAATATTCGTTTTTCACGGATACGTCAGAAGCGAGTCTAAATTCGCCTTCGCCCTATGTATATTTTCATGTGGCAACATTGTAATTAGTGTAGTGTGTGATATGTATGTGATTATTTTTTCAGAAAGCAAAAACATAACCTTAGAAAATGGTTTCTAAAATAGTTTAAAATAAAATTATGTTTTTTCTTAAAAGATTGTTAATAACTATTCCACATATACATAAAAGAGGTTAGCATGCGTTACTAATCAACAAATTTGTATTTTAATTTTAGACTTTAGCATACCATCCCAAACAATTGGAACATTTACGAAAAATGGTCGAAAAGAATACCAGAACAAACCCAATGATCATGAAACTCGATACGCCGGAATATAAATCAATCTTTACCGATGAATTAATTTCCCTAGTTAATATTTTTAAACAGTACGGATACGAACTACGTGTAGCCGGTGGGGCTGTTCGGTATGTTGTTGAAATCTTAAATTATAAGCTTCGCAAATACATTTAAGGGTAGCGATTTATTAATGGGGAAGAAGCCCAAAGATTTAGACTTCGCTACTACTGCAACTCCCGATCAAATGAAAGAGATGTTTACGACAGAAAATGTTCGTATGATTAACACGAAAGGGGAAAAGCATGGCACGATTACACCTAGGATAAACGACAAGGAGAATTTTGAAGTTACCACTTTACGCATTGATGTTACCACGGATGGGAGACATGCCGAAGTAGTGTTTACTACAGATTGGTTGCTTGATGCAAATAGACGAGATCTTACAATCAATTCTATGTTCTTAGGTAAGGTATCCCTTTTAAAAGGGCGTTGATTGCCTACAGTTGAAATCATAAAAAGTGAGCCGAGCCCTGCCGAAGGAATGCTCTTTCCAACGATATCAAATTTGTTAAAATCGGTCAAACGGTTAAGTTAAAGCAGGTTATTGCGAAAACAATTGAACGTCCCACGCCATCTTTATTTTTGAAAGAACTGAGTTTTTGTTTTTACAAAAATGATAGATAAACTGGTTCTCAAAAATGTGAAAAAAGAATGTTTAGTTTATTATGCGAAATTTAAAGAAAATGCAGTTTTAAAATTTAAGATGGCAGTTACGCCCTCTGGTGGTCATTTTTAGAACTTGAAAATATTTTCCAGCAATTCTTCATGACCGATTTATCCAATAACTTTGTTTACCCCTAAGTCATACGACGAACGGTTCTCGAGATATGGCCGAGGAACAGTCTTATTGGGTCACCCGGTACACCTCGACAGTGCGATCAGGCAACAACTCGCGCGAGAAACCTTACTAAAGTAGCCCGCCTTAGGTAGCGTTCATGAAGCGCTTCGTCTGGTCAACGCGCCCAATATCAATATTTTGATACGATATTTGTCTTGTCTCATATTCCTTTTAATATGGTTTTTGTTTTCATAGGTTTAGATGGTTCGGTATACGATTATTTTTATGGTTATGAAGACATACAAAAGCGTAGAGTTGTTTTTGTTGGTGATGCCATTACGAGAATTCAAGAAGATTATCTAAGGATACTTCGATATTTTAGGTAAATTAGGAACTGCTTTTAATGCAGCAGATTTAAATAAATCAGTTTGCGGAAAATGCAAGAGAAACGTTACAAAAACTTGGGTAATTTATATTGAAAAGTGATCAAATTTAACCTCAATTTAATATTATATCACATCCAATGTTTGATTATACCAAAGCGACTTTAATCAGTCGTATACTAAGCCACAGAATAAAAACCATTTGTGCAAACTGAGGTATATTCTCAGTTGGCTTTTCTAAACAAATCTTTCATTAACCTTTCCGTACTGAAACAAACGGAGTAACTGAGTTACCCTAGAGATCATTTTTTCACTTCAACTTTCTTTTCCCACGAGATTAGCATAGCTTGCAAAATTGAATCAGCATGCATTAAGTAATTTTACTGTTACTTGAGGTTTAAATACCTTAATAAATAAAAAAAATTGGACCGCGCATGCGCAAAACGAATGTTTTGAATCACCTACTAGTTTTACTGTTACTCGGGGTGCTAACATACAAAATTTCATTTAAATATCTTAACAAATAAAAAAAATTGGATTCCGCATGCGCAAAACAAATTTTTAGCGCATTTTTGAAAAAAATAATAGCGATAAAAGTAGAACAATAGCTCTTAAGATAAAGAACTAGTAGCGACCGAACGGCTGTATGGACGGACGAACAAAGTGGCCACAATAGCACATTTTTTATTTTTGTGAAAATGAGCTAATTGAAACTGTGGCCGTATGCTCCCACAGATTTTTTTTCTACAGATACTGAACTTTCTGGTGTAGATTCAAGTAAACAATTAGCGTTGGACGTCATTCTGCTGAATTTTCTATAATGACGATTTTGTCGGAACTGTAAATTGAAATGCCGCAAGTCTATTGAGAACGTTTTCCCTTACTGCACTTGGCAATAGTCTTGCAAACGGCCTCTAATTTACTAAAGCAAAACTGAGTTTTTTAATCACTGCACAATCGATTAACTACAAAACAGAAACTGAACCAAATATTAACAATTAGATGTAAGATCTGAAAATTAGGTTAAATTTGACTTCTCTTTGATATTCAAGCATACTTTGTTAATGGTCCGGAAACTGATTTATAATGGGATGTAAATTTTATTACCCGTCTGTATCAACAGTTTAATTTCAAAATTTCTAGATCTACTCCAAAATTTTGTAAATTATTCTAAATATTGTCAACATATGGCCTTATGTTAATGTGTGGTCATCTCTTACAGATTTTATGGAAGAATAGCAAAAGTAGCAAATGCACATGAAAACGACACTTTAAATGCCATTAGAAATAACGTGGAAGGCTTAGAACAAATATCTGGCGAAAGAATTTGGGTTGAACTTAAACAGATATTGGAAGGAAATTTTGCTGGTGATCTCATGGCAACTATTATAGAAGTAGGAATTGCTCCATATATAGGTAAGTCGCCCAAATTCAAAATTTCTATTATGTACAGGGTAGTTCAAATTTGTGGCTCACCATTGGGATCACCGCAACGGTGAGAGATACAGTGTAGTTTAAATGGGGGCAAAGTTGTTTCTTTTTGTGACTAAAAAAACGCTTTTGAAATTTTTGAAAAATTGTTGAAAATAGCTGAGATATCACCGAAAAACTGAAAATAGCAAATTTCGTTTTCTTTTTCTCTGTTAGCACCTTCTATGGGTAATTTACTTGAGAGAATCTTTACTTTATGCAATGCTACTACTTTCTCATTTCTTATGGGCGCCATATTGGATTTTTACAGAATGAGATAGAGAACAAAAAAAGAAAAATAATGACGTGTCATACTTTTACATAAATTTACAAGAAAAATGTCTAAATCAAATATCCTTTCTAAGGATTAGATTATAATATGTTTTAGTTTTATATCATTCAAGCCACAGATTGCTGGGTTAAATTAAAACAAACTTTTTTTTGGCAAAGCGAAAAGTCGATATAGGTACAAAAAAACAGCTACTGTAAATAGATTGTCTTTAATTTTTACAACAAGAATTTGTTATCTCACTGCAGGTATCTTCATCACTTTGTTCTGAATCGATCGAAAACTCGCTCAATTCACTATTCGACAGCGAGTAATAAAAATGCTCCTGATAGGAAGCATGGTCATCAATATTCTTCTGCGTTTCTTTACTAAATTTAAAATCGTACAAACTATGAACGGAAGTTTCACTTTTAACCTTCTCTATATAAGCTTCCAAATCGTCCACTTCATCTTCCTTACTGTACACTTTTTGGGTGGCTGTGTTTCGGTGGTCTGGTAAAAGTCGATCTACTTTAGCATCTATTGTCGATGTCGCCTCAGTAACATGCTGAACTTTGTCATACATTTGTTGTATATCTCCCTCATATATATTAACCGGGTAACTTACAGGTTTGTCATTATATTTCTCCACCTTCCCTTTATATGATTGTAAAACGGTCCACATAGAAGAATCCGAATTTGTCGATTTTAATTGTCTTTCCATCTCCATTTTCTCCCAGTTTAATTTTGAAGCTTTACGATAGTTGTACAATATAACCTTTGCCTTCAAATTTTCCAGGTTTTCTTGAATGATAAGGCTTTTTAAATCAATTAGTCTTCTTGTATGGTTTGGTTGTTCGATTTCTTTAATTACTGGATAAGGTGTCTCTTTAAATGAGCGAAGTTCTAATAAATCCGCAATGCTCTCGACGGCTTCTGTAAGGTATACGTAGATTATAACATACAGGTTGAAATTAAACTGGCAGAGAACAGCTGGTGGTGGAATCGTCCCTTCATCGACAATTTCTTCGATGACAGTTTCGCTTTCAGATTTCAAGTGTTTGTTAGGTACCGTCACAATGTGAGCATAGGGGTCAAAATGTTCGTCTACAGGATAGCCGTCGTCGTCAGAGTCCTCTAGTTTCTTTACCTCTTTTTGGCTGGACGATTTTGGTTTACTAGGTGGCTTGCTTGGGACATTTTTGCCTTTTAAAGGAACCGCTGATGTTTGCGTCGTATTAAAATATAGATTGAACCTCGTTTTACAATCTTTCGCCGGTAAATCTTGAATGGTTGCATTAGCAGGTTTATGCTCTTTGTTGGTGATATTTTCGATTAATGGGGGTTTTAAAAACACTTGGAGGGGAGTTTCACAGTTGTGATGAATGTTGTAAGGTTTGAGTTTAGGGTAGACAGTGTGTTTGTTTACCTTCATTTTATGCTTTAATCTCTCGATGTCGTTTTCAATTTTATAGAAACACCTGCAAATTATTAAATATACCTGCGTGTATGTAGTGATTTTCAAGCTTTCATCAATTGATGGCGACTTTAGTTTGGCTATGATCATTTCTAAGTCTTTATTTAAATTTGATTTGAATGTAGGACGTTGTATGGGCTCCTCTGGTTCTTTTAGTTGACTTATTTCATCTTCGAGAAAGATATTGGGTGGAAAAACTGTTTTAGGAATATTCAGCGTTGGTTGTTTTGTAGAAATTTGTCGCGATAGTTGGCACTGGTACCTTTGGGAAAAACAAAATTAGGATATTAAATTCAGATTGGGTAAGTATAAAAAAAGAGGGAATCAGAAACACATTTGGCATCCAGTTGTCGACATGTTCAACAAAAAAAGAGTTTTCAAATGGAAATAATATTTGAAAAGAAAAGAATAAGTTTCTTAAAAAGTTAACTTGTCCGCATGGAAGCATTTGTTGTGTCCCAGCACCGCCCCTTTACTGTATTTATTCACTTCTCTCGCATCACTTCGCTTTTTATTGAGAGAAATACTTAATGCGCAAGTAAGAAATTTACTTCTGCGCATGACATGTTTGATATAATCAATAGAGTTGCGTTTGTAAAGTTGTGCTTCTGTTAAAATCTAAAAAAAATCAGTACACAAATAAGACTGTACGTTTTGCGCATGCATCACGCAGCTTTCCCCATGTTTAATATAATCACAGATATACACAAATGGCAGATTGATAACCTAGGCAGTTAATGGGGAAAACATTTAGATAGACTGAGACAGTGGTGACAATAGAACTAAAAGCTTCATTGTACATAATGTAGGCACACAATAACCATAATATACATGTAGCAGAAGCTCAATGCAACATGGCTGCTGATCTCAGCAACCAATCAAAAATTAGATCCTATATTTGGGATTCACATTACCACTAAACACATTGGGTTATTATAGCAGGTTTGTAAGGTGAAATTATTGTACTAATATGCAAGTGAATTGAGTTTATCCTGCCCTTTTTTAAACTTGAAAATATAACCCCTTAAGCCGGATTTATAGTTCCGTAGCCGTAAGAACGTAAGAACGGAACCGTAAAATCTTACGTTAACGAAAATTATACGATTTATAGTTACCGTAGTGGTAAGAGATGAGCTTGCGCATTAGCGCGTAACGAATTCTGTCATTGTATGTCATCTGTCAGTAAGAGTAACGTGCATTTCAAAATAATAATAACCAACAAAGTGTCAATAATTATTGTAAATAAACGAAACGAACGTCAGGATAAACTCAACTGTTTGAATTATCCGAGTACTACCGAAGACAAGCGTGTTAGCACGATTGACCGTAAGAAATAAGATTTGGGCATTTCCTACGTACCGTAACCGTTCTAACGCAACGTTAACGCGAACTATAAATGTTCACGCGCAACAAGTAGGGTTTAATTCCAAACGTTACGGTACGGCGTTGCGGGTACGGAACTATAAATTCAGCTTTAATCCTATCCCACCTGAAAGGCCTTTTTTTTAAGAACTCGAGGCTGCCTTGAATTAGCTTGAACATGCAATTAACTTAATTTTCTAATTAAGTAATCAGAATTGCCAGGTTTTCTGTACAGCATGATAATTACTCTGCAAATTTTCTCTAATTTGACCATCGTCCTATATTCTGTAGTTTATGATGAAATACTTTACAATTTAGTGTGAGAGCTGCCCTATCGAACAAAACTAATAATAAGAGACGTTTTTTATGCAATAAGGGAACTTCGTGGCACAATTACACTGACCACAATTTAAATTATAGGTATCCTTCAAGGTGTCGTGCTTTAATAAATGACGATTTAAATTTTTCGCACAGAGTGCACGTAATATCCCTCAAAGTTAATATGCTGCTTTAAGTTTTGCTTATCGGGAGTAGCGCAATTGCACTGTTCACAAATTAAGTGTTTGAGAAGGCTGTGTGTGTTAATAGGTGACAGTTTAACCGTCGCTTACACGCGCTTTTTATTAACATTGTTACACGCGTGTGAGGGAAATGCTCACATAGCCCTGACTTTTGTTGTTTTATGAATTGCTACTATTAACAGAAATTTGTTTTTAAATTTGCGGGTATACCAAAACCTTAATAAAACGTTAATTCTGAATAACTTTAAACTCTACAGTTTTTTTCTGTAAAATGTACAGGAGGGCAGGATATTGCATAAAACTAATTTCCCATGTTAAATCTTTATGTTCCTACTTACCGTGCACCACCAGGTATGCGCCATTAAAGCGATAACAGAAAAAATTGAATACAACAATAGTACTTTGTGTACCAAGGCGGGAAAGTGGTTGTTTTCCGGGGCGAAGGAAGATATGGCCAGGCGAGGCGCAGCCGAGGCTGGCCACTTCCTGAGGCCCGGAAAACAACTTTCGTGCCGTGGTGCACACAATATTTTTTATCCTATACAATTACATTTAAAATTAATCCCTCAACAACGTCCGACCGCAAGCGCTTGAATTTGGATTTGCTTTAACGCGTCAACGTGCACGCGTTTGTTTTGTTTATTTCCATGTTTCCTGCTGACTACGCGAAAAAAATTTTACGAAACGGTGCAATCTAAGTGGGCCCACGAGTATATTTTTTAGTCGTAGATTTACCCCTTTCCCTTATAATACAGTTCAACACAAATTCAAATTCCAGCGCGCTTGCGATTGCACAGTGCGGAGTCACCGAAGGGAGTCACGGTGCAACAGAGCAGAGGTGCAAGTGGAGAATACCGATCATATGCGAACTGAGTTGACATTTCCGGCATTTCACTGGCGCGTGATTATTTCCTTAGAAAATAACGGGATTTAAGGGGTTGTAATTAATACCAGGCGCATTTGAAATTATTACTGGTCTTGTGTATTAACAAATGTGTTTTAAAATTGAATGTGTGTTTTCAGGGACAAAATCACACCGGTTACATTTTAAATCCTTCGCAGTATCCATGTCTTGTCAAATGTTAGATGCTTTTAAGACTGGATTTATGCTTGGCGACGAAAGCGCAATGGGCACACTTTAAATCCTTGATGATCTTGTGTTTTAAAAAATGTGTTTATAAATAGATTTATTCATTCCTTACAGTCACACTGGACACATTTTAACTTCGGGGTAGTCTCGTATGTTAAAATGCTACTTATTGCGGATAAGCGGGATAAGCGGTGTTCTACTTACAGTGCAAAGTACATCTTGGTGTTAAATGTATTGACACAGATGCTCGTTATTGAAAGTAAATGGGAGATTATGACGTAAGTTTGAAACGTTTGAATTGGTCAAGTGATATTGGGAAAGTATTCAAATTCACGAAACATTGATAGGTATAGGTTCGCGGTAATTAAATAAATTCTTGAATTCAGTAAAATAAAGTGAACATAGGGTAAATCTAATTATTAAATCCGTGTTGACGATTTTATGTTTCTTATTTAATTAAAAAGAAATAACTTCTTTGACATTTTATTACAACCGCGCCATCTAGCTTACATAAGGCGTATTTTTTTTTCTCGCCTAGCCGACAAAATTGAATTTTCTCGCTCCATGCGTGCAATTGTCTTCTTTCGCGTCCTCACACAGGCGAGAAAATGTAAGTTTCTCCTTGTATAGGATAAAAACAAATATGCTTAGCATTCTTGAGCTTGGAGAAAGCTTTCGATAGTCAGGTAAATATTAGTATAGGCATAGAGTAAATACAATAAGAGTTCCAGACGCTTATTAATTTGTGGCCACCTTTCACACACCTCATAAGTAGATGGCGATGTAAGCGTGGGAAAATTTTCATTCAACGCCCCCTGTTATGTAGGACAGATCACTAAATTGGGTAGCTGAATTAGCGCGTTTATGAACCCCTCAAAGCCGCGGCTTTACGAATTCATTTATAATGTCTGACCTTGAACTGATAAATTTACGTACATTCTCTTTTAATAAATCAAAGAATTTTTCACTTTTCTTTACTGCCCGACCTTTCAAGAGGATGCATTTCGTAAAAAAATACATTGTACTTGCAATTCTATAAAATGTGCGAAACGAAATCCAATACGCACACAACAATTAATAGTAAGTATCGAAGGTTTAATAAATTTGTTGAAGGTTTTGACAAACTTATTGTCCCTATTTAAATTTGATTGCATAAAGATTACAAGATTTGTACCCACATTATAGATAAGGTTTATTAATAAATTGATCGTGTGCTCGTTGGAAACTTCATACCAATTTTTAAACTTCTCGCGTACCTACTTCTGATACAATTCCAAATAATCTTTATGTCCGATTATTCGCTTCGAACAAAGTCTATTTAGTTTTTCTTTGTAGAAATTAATGTTACGCATCCGTTCGTACTATTGATATCCATTTTCCAAATTTTGAAACTACGTAAACAGAATTTAAATATGACGTTATGAGAAAAAAATCGTGTGAGATCGAATGGACATCAGCGCATTTATATGTGGTAGACTATTTTCTATTAGCCAGTTATATTGCGACATGAAAGTCGCAAAGTAACTTTTTCAAAAGATAACCGCGTGGTGATTTTTTAGTCTTCTTCTGCCGTGGTAGAAAGTTGAGGAGTGTACTTGTACCTACCGAGCCGCATAATTAACAATTCTTTAGAGTCGGTGACATCCGGGCGCCATCCCCGAGCGTGGTTTACTAACGTGGTGATTTTTCAGTTTTTCCTGCAGAAGAAGATTTTTTCCTGTCTTCTTCTGCAGGAAAAACTGAAAAATAACCACATTAGTAAACCACGCTCGGGGATGGCGCACGGATGTCACCGACCTCATATCATGTAGCCCCGCCCCTAAAGAATTGTTAATTATGCGGCTCGGTAGGTACAAGTACGCTCCTCATCTTTCTACAAGCGATCTTCTACGAGGTCTCATTTGCTGCTAGCCCGCTAGTCCGCCGGCCAAAGTAAGATTAAAAGCCACCGTTTTACAAATAAATGTGCAAAAAATGCGTTAAAAAGAGATAATTACAAAAAAGTTAATTCACTGTTTGCTGCTAAACAATGGCCTAACGGTCCTAAAACTGTCGTCTAACTTCAAATTCAATATGGACATGGCTTTAGCCATATAATACGCAATGCCAAAAGCTGAGTCGAATTGATTCAAAATTCATAGTGCCCTTTTCACATCTCGACTAATTATAAACCGAAATGCAAACTTTTAGCATTGGAAATGCTTATGTTTTGTATGGGTATGAAGTTACCAGATTCGGGAAGCAGAAAAGAGACAGTGGTGTCGCGTCTAGTGTTGATTGTATCGTACTCGACTGCAATCGGTAGATTCAGGAAATGTCGCGGATACTGTCGATACGGTACTTACTTAACAGTGCGCAGGGGTTTTGTTAATTCAAATTGAAAATTCTCGCACATCGCTCGTGATAGTATTACAAGCATGTTACGCCGTTTATTATTCAGAAAGTGTACGTTTGCGACACGAGCGAGCGCAGCGAGCGAGTTTAGCATGAGTATTCCGTGTGAAGGGGTTATTTATGACTACGGTTATCATTTCCAATGTCTGATGGTTGCAAGGATTGCGAAATCTGTGAATTTTTTATTTATGGAAGCATTTAAATGAAATTGGATACATAGCCACTTGAAACAAAGGAAAATCTAACGTTAGTTTCAAAATTTAGGTTTGCGCATGCGCAGTGTCAACTTTCTTATTTATGAAAGTATTGAAATGAAATTCTTCTTATAAACTGAAATTGAAGTAGGACATCAAAATGGATTGCACATATGCAACGCTACCTTTCATATTTGTGGCCGGATTTTTACGATTTTAACAGAAGTTGCATCTTACAAATGGGAAATGAATGCAAGTGGAAATGCGCTTTTTATAAATCGTTTACGATTACTTTTTTAACTTGTTGTTTTTAGTATTGAGTGGGCGGGGTTTCAGCTAAGGTTGCTCTACCAACCTAACCCACTACACATTTACAAATACCCATGCCCGTACCCGGATTCGAACCAGGGACCCTTAGTACCACAGTCCAGCTTCAACTCAACTGCGACACACAGGCCGGCTTAAGAATGATGTTATTGTTTGTAAAAACATCCAAAACACTTTTAGCTGACAACGTAGTTAAGTATGCTGTATGGCTTTATAACACGGGCCGATAATCATTTTGAAATTAACAATTTTGTGGTTTTCCCTGTATTTCTTACCCGAGCGAAAATTTTGATACCGTATTAAGTTTTAAAGTCTAAGGGCCGGTTTTACAATTACACTTTTACGGAGAATAAGATATTCTTGGAATAACTACTGTGGTATACGGTGTGACCGTGCGCAGGAGCAAAAGAGAGACAGCTCGAGAAGAGCCACGACGAGGGGACTTCGAGTGACGCGCGCGCGGGGTAAACAAGGTAAGCGACAACGCTACATGGTGACAACGGTGAGATTGGTTTTTTGTTTCGGTATCGGTAAAGGTACGTACACGCGATACAAAAACTAGTGCGTTTTTTTTAATCGGTGACGAACTGACACACGCGAAACAAAAGCGAAACGATAGCGATTATAAAACAAAGTGAGTGTAAATACGCAAGGAATATGTGGAGAAACTGTAAGTAATAACTTCTTTCATTTTCTCGCAACAATCGGCATTTATACGGCAAAAGTTTTATAATACGCCCAATCTAATCATAACAAAATGACGAACGATAACGCTACACACAATGACCCCTCGCATAAGGACATTAATGCAGAACATTTTGCACGTCAACAACAAATACTTACGCAGCTACTGGAACTACAGCGGCAACAAATGACGTTATCTGCCGCGACAACGAATAACGCGGCAACGGTAGCTGTACCTAATCCATCGGTCCCGCCCCCACCGACTTTTTCTTATAAAGCGGAAGAATGGGCTGAATGGAAATGCAGCTTCTATCGCTACAAACGCACCATGTTAGTCAGCTGCTCCAGTGAGCAAACGGTCGATTATTTCATCGGGCATCTGGGTACTAAAGCGGAGAAAATTCTAAAGTCATTTCACCTTTCGACGGAAGATCAAAAAAACTTCGCTATCGTTTTAGAAAGATTCGACGCATATTTCGGCGAAAGGAAAAATTTAGTCTACGAAAGGGTCAAATTTCTTCAAAGGGTGCAAGGTTCTGATGAACCCTGCGATATATTTATAAGCGATCTAACCGCTATGGCCCAAACGTGCGAGTGGGCTCAATTAGAAGGGGAGATGATCAAATTGCGAATTATCGCGGGTTTGGCAGATAGTCGGTTGTCGATCCAATTGCAAACAAGGCCAGATGACAACGTAGACGAGGTAATCAAACGCGTTAGGTTGGCAGAATCACTCCGTAAACAACAAGCCGTAATTCGGGCAAGCGCACCAGCTCCAGCCAATGCGCCAACTCAAAGCGTAACGGAACCGGAAGAGGTTAGCGCCATCTACCACAGCAGAGGTGCCATACCAAAACAGAAACCCCATATGCAGCGACCAAATCCCCACGTTAGGACAGCTGACTACAAAAATGACACCAAATCATGTAGAAAATGCGGCCTCATTCCTCGCCACGCGTTTGCGTCGTGCCCTTCGAGAAACGACACTTGTAAAAAATGCGGCAAAATAGGACATTGGTCCACTAGATGCTTATCTAAAGTAAACAATAGACAAAACCCAAAGATTGCGAGCGTAGAAACGGCACCAGATGAGGAAGACAATTTTTTTATGGGATCGATCGACACGTCAAAACCCAAAAAACCGTGGCGCGCGATCGTTAATGTTAACGACACAAATCTAGATTTTAAATTAGATTGCGGCGCGGACGTTACGGTGATAAGATGGGACGATCTCAAAAAATTAAACAAAACACTCGTAGACGCACCAAAATCACTTATATCAGCCTCGGGCGATAAAATCCAAATTGTAGGAACGTTTGACGCAGATCTCCGGTATCGGAATCGCAAATCTCTCGAAAAAATTTACGTGGCAAAGAAATTGCGCGAGAATTTATTGGGCCGCGACGCGTTGGAAACATTGGGCATGCTATCCTGGGCAAATGTTGCGTCGATAGCAGAGCAATTTCCTACTTTGTTCGAAGGCATAGGAAACTTAGGCAAAACGTACCACATTAAAATTAAAGAAAACGCTGTACCTTTCGCAATAGCGGCAGCACGACGGGTACCGTTACATCTACGCGACGCAGTTAAAAAGCATCTCGACAAATTAGAGAATGAAAGCATCATAAGAAAGGTCAGTGTGGCAACAAACTGGTGTGCGCCTATGGTCGTCGTACCCAAGAAAAACAACAGCGTTCGAATATGCGTCGATTATACTATTCTCAATAAATCAGTACAATCAGAACGCATGATTCTACCTGAGATATCCGAATCCCTGGCTCTAATTGAAGCAGAGGCGGAATACTTCTCAAAGCTCGATGCAGCATCAGGATTTTATCACATTCCTTTAGACACAAACTCTCAGTTATTAACGACTTTTATAACGCCATTTGGACGCTACGCTTTTCAAAGGCTTCCGATGGGCATCACGTCAGCCACAGAACGCTTCCAAAGAGAGATGATGGAAACACTAGAAGGCCTAGAAGGCGTGGTCAACATAGCGGACGACATGCTAATCTTCGGGAAAACCAAGGCAGAGCATGACCAGCGTTTGGCCCAAGTATTAGAGCGCTTGAAACAAAGAGGGTTAAGACTGAACAAGGAGAAATGTGTCTTTGGAAAGAAAAAAGTGAAATTCTTAGGTTACACGATCTCCAAAGAAGGCGTGGGAATCGATGAAGACAAAGTCAAAGCCGTACTCGAGATGCCAGCACCAAAGAATGTCAGCGGCGTGAGACAACTGCTCGGCACATTGCAAGTAAATGCAAAATTTTTACCAGAATTGGCTAACATAGCAAGCCCCATATCGCAACTTTTATCTACAAAATATGAATTTTGTTGGACAGAAAGGCAACAGGCGGCACTAGAAGCCATAAAAATCGCATTAACTTCAGCACCGGTATTATCTCACTTTTCTCCTAACAGGAACACAAGAGTAGCAGCCGACGCATCGTCATTCGGTCTTGGAGCCGTACTGGAACAAGAGCAAAAGGTGGCACTTGGAAACCCATCTCCTATGCGTCACGAAAAATGTCCGAAACGGAATCCAGATACGCACAGATAGAGAGAGAGGCACTAGCGGCTACATGGGCCTGTGAGAAATTTCAAATGTACTTGCCAGGCAAACATTTTAGTCTGCGCACAGACCACAAGCCGTTGGTCCAACTGTTGGGAACAAAACCACTATCGGATTTGTCTGCACGGCTACAAAGGTTTAGAATGCACCTCATGCAATACTCTTATAACGTCGAATACATTCCTGGAAAGAAAATGATCATTGCCGATATGCTTTCTAGAGCGCCGATAGAATCGACCGATCCCGGCAGCGACGCGCTTTTAATCGATGAAGTCGAAGCGTTTGCGCAACACATAGGAGAAACTTTACCATTTTCCGACGCTCGTCTACAAAGGATTCGCGAAGCACAAGTCTCCGATCCACAAACGAAAAGAGTGAGGGAATACATCGTCAAAGGCTGGCCCACTAAAAAACGTATGACCCCAGAAGACCGATCATTTCACCAGTTTGAAGGTCAAATGGCGATACTGAACGATCTACTAATGCGAGTCAACAGAGTGTTCATACCGAGAGACTACAGGTCAGAAATCCTCGACCAAATACACGTAGGACACCTGGGCATAACGAAATGCAAAAGTCGAGCAAAGGAGACGGTTTGGTGGCCTGGAATAAACTCTCACATTGAAGACAAGATAAGCAACTGCAATATTTGCATTGAGCACAGGACTCCACCAACCGAAAAATTAAAACCGTCTGAGACACCAGAATATCCGTGGCAGATGATCGGGGCGGACTTGTGTAAAGTAGCGGGAAGAACTTACATAGTCGCAGTGGACTATTGGTCAAGATACCTGGAAGTAGCCAACATGAAATCCGAGACAGCGGAAGAAGCCATAGCAAAACTAAGAACTTTCATGGCAAGATGGGGAATTCCGGAAATTCTAAGAACCGATAACGGACCATGCTTCCGGGGTAACAAATTTAAAGACTTTGCTGAGAAATATGGATTTCAGCACATCACCAGCAGTCCGCTATACCCCCAATCAAACGGTCAAGCAGAAGCAGCCGTCAAAATAGCCAAGAAAATTTTAACGAAATGCGAAGACCCAAATCTAGGATTGCTGAGCTACCGCACAGCGAAACTAAGCTGCGGATTGTCACCATCAGAGCTTATAATGGGCAGAACACCAAGGTCCAACGTACCAGCAAATAAAAGCCTGTACATACCGACATGGTCATACCTGCAATCATTTAAACGCAAAAGAGAGGTGGAAAAAGCAAAATACGCGGCAGATTTCAAAATTCGCCACAGAGCGCGGTCAGTCTCCCCACTTGGGATCGGCGAACAAGTATGGATTACGAACGCAAAGAAATATGGCGTAGTCGTGAACAAGGGACCGGAACCCAGAACGTACATAATAAAAGCAGACAATAATGTCTACAGGAGAAATAGATCACACCTCATAAGAGTCACGAACATACCAACTCAGCAACAAGAAGACCTAGATATAGATCTACCAGAAGACTCCCAACAAATATCACGGGAAGAGGGGAAGGAGTTGAAAGATGACAACAGAGGTCGAGAGAACGCAACCATTGTCGAAACAGAAGCTGGAGAAGGAAGCCAAGCTGAAGAAAACGGAAGAGACCAGCAACGCACAATCGTTGCGGAAACGGAAGAGAGCGCGAGGCAGAAGGAAAATGAGGCCACCGCACCAAGTCCTACAGAAAACGCGACCGCAGTAGGAGGGAAAATAGAGGCCAATACCAGGGCACATCAAGAAAAGTCAAACGCGCACCACCAATATGTAACTCGTTCAGGGCGCCTAGTTAAACCGCCGCGAAATATATGCAACTGCACCAGCGGGTGCAATCACTAAAGGCCGCTGCGATATTTTCCCCAAAAATACTACTCATTGTGTACGTATAGTTAAAAGGACCAAAAGTGTGTGCGTGTATTTAAATCAAGTGTATTGTAAATAATAAGTGTGACTGTCGAACATAAGCATGTGCATGTTTAGTATTAGTGTTAGACAAGCCGGGAACATGACGTCCGGTCCGAACACCCTACAGAAGGGGGGATGTGGTATACGGTGTGACCGTGCGCAGGAGCAAATGAGAGACAGCTCGAGAAGAGCCACGACGAGGGGACTTCGAGTGACGCGCGCGCGGGGTAAACAAGGTAAGCGACAACGCTACAACTACCATAGCAACATGTATGCCATTGGTTGACACAATGGTAACCAACACAACCGTCGACATTTATTCTAGGTATATCTTATTCTCGGTATATACCTTCAATGTAGAATCGGCACTAAAAAGAGCACATGCTCAAAAATAAGTTAAAATCAACAACTTTTTTTAAAATGAAAATACATTTTCCTTTTGGAATTTTACATAGTGTTTCATATACAGGGTGTCCCATTTTCGACACTTTTATAGGCGTTATGGGCTCTTTTTGGGTAAAACTTGCAATGGTAAAATCAAAATTTGCACATTTTTGTTTCAGAGATACGGAGATAAATCAAACAATTTTCAAAATCAGAATGACCGTATACATTCTTAGTAAAAACAGAAACAAAAAAATGTTTCTTGAAAATTATTGATAAATAATCTGCCGATTTCAAAATAAATAATTATCAGTACTATCGGGTAAAAAAGTTATTGGATCTAACTTAATTTTATTTAAATGGCATACCCTGTATATTTCAATCTAAAAATAGCATATTAAATTCTGTTTTTTAAATATAACACCGAAAAAATTCAATATCGATTCAAAAATGTTCAAAAAAGATTTCTTAAAAATCCAAAAATTCGTTTGTAGTAATTTCTAATTTTTTCAGTGTCAGAAAAAAGAGCGATAGTTCGTAGAAAACAGTTCCTTTTGTTGAGACCTTTAATTAGAATACCATGAATGGGTAAAACGTGTGGTCCCCCCCCTCGCCTTTCCCATTTTCAAAAGTTTTACTTGCCACTAAAGGCATGCGCATGTAAAATGGTATTAGACTCTATTAGTGTGACGTCAAATTTGAGCGGGAAATTCGAAACGCTGGTCTTGGCTGTTTTACTGTCGAAGATATTGACTCCTATCGCCCCATACATTAAGTATCACTTTTAAATGGGTCCTCTTTACGGGCTTATCCTGACCTTATGCGGATTAAATAAGCATATCGGCCCTCTTATATTGAAACACTGATTACTTAACTTTAAAGGCAAGATAACGACCAAGTCTAGCAATTGGGAAAATGTAAACATAAGAACATGGTTATGATCATTCCATATTGCCAACCGTAAAGTGTAAATATGGTAGATATATCTTTAATTTTTAATTATAATGCAATTAATGGATTTTATTTAACGATTATTGCTCTGTTTTAAAGTTAAGTAATCAGTGTTTCGGTATAAGCCCGTAAAGAGGACCTATTTCAAAGTTATCCTTAATGGATAGGGCGATAGGGATCAATATTTCCGACAATAAACAGTCCTGCAATTCGAATTTCGCGGGCTATTATGACGTAAACACTAATAGACTCTATTGGTTGTCGCATGTAAAAGTTTAGGACCATTCCCGTAAAAGTAGTTCAACACAGCAAAAGTGGTTCCTGACCGACGGAGAACACGCAAAACAATAGCACCAGCACTAAAAAACGCAAAAAAAGTACAATCTTTGCCGATCTATCTTTCATTGCATTGCTGGTTACTGGTTAGATTGTACAGCATATGTGGTCTGGTAAGAATAAGATGCAAGTTGTCTTACGTATTGAAGAATTGAAGAAACAACTCACACCGGAGAGCCTTTAT